CGCCCAATTAGTGCCACAAACAAGATAACCAGAGGGTGGACTTGGCAGGCACCAGAGCCCTGCAAAAATGAATCCTGATCCATGGTGTCAGCCCCAGCTCATCTGCTGTAGTCACGGGGTAGAGCTGGTTAGCCAATCCCACCCACGGATGTGCCAATAGCAATCAAGGCTCGAATAAAACAAGAAGGCATATCAACCCACACAAGGGACAGGTGACCAGGGAGACTGTGCAGCTGGGCCCCACAGAACAGGGTAAACTCCAGAAATAGATAAATTCCTAGAAACATAATCTTCTAAGTCTGAATGAAGAAGAGAAAATATGAGCAGATCAATAATTACTAATGAAATTAAATTAGTAATCAAAAATCTCCCAACAGACAGAAATCCTGGACCAGATGGCTTCACATGTAAATTTCACCAAACATTTAAAGAAGAACTAATACTTATCCTTCTTTTTTTTTTTTATCCTCACCCGAGGACATTTTTCCATTTTTTTTTCAGGTAGAGTGGGAGGGAGTGAGAGGAACACAGAGAGAGAGAGAGAAACATTGACATGAAAGGGACACATCGAGTGGCTGCCACCCTCACAACTGACCAGGGCCGGGGACAAACTGCAACCTAGGTACGCGCCCTTAGCGGGAACCGAACCCGGGTCTCTCAGGACCGCAGGCCGACGCTCTAACCGCTGAGCCAAACCGGCCAGGGCAATACCTATCCTTCTTAAAGTATTCGTTTATGATAAAAACTCTAAGCAAAGTGGGAATAGAGGAAACATACCTCAAAATAATAAAGGCAATATAGCCCTGGCCAGTTTGGCTCAGCAGTTAGAGCATCAGTCCGCAGACCAGAGAGTCCCGGGTTCGGTTCTGGCTAGGGGTGCGTGTGTGTGGGGGACCACTCGGTGTGTCTCTCTTGTGTCAGTGTTTCTCTCTCTCTCTCTTCCCCCCCTTCTCTCCTGCTCTGTCTGAGGATAAATGCAAAAATGTCCTCTGGTAAGGATTAAATAAATAAATAAATAAATAAATAAAGGCAATATATGTCAAAGCCACAACTAACTTCATACTCAGTGGTGAAAAGCTAACAGTGTTTTCCTTAAGATCAGGAACAAGACAACATCCACTTTTGCCACTTGTATGCAACACAGTATTGGAAGTCCTTGACATAGCAATCAGAGAAGAAAAATAAAAAAAAGTCATCCAAACTGGAAAAGAAATAAATCTGTCATTATTTTTTGCAAATGACATGATACTGCATAGAGACAACCCTAAAGACTCCACCAAAAAATGATTAGAACTGATAAATGAAGTCAGTAAAGTAGAAGGATACAAAATTAATATCCATAAATTGCATTTTATAAAACAATAAGAAACTATCAGAAAGAAAAATTAAAGAAGCAACTCCACTTACAATTACATAAAATATACCTAGGAATGAATTTAACTTCATTCATAAGGAGGTAAATGACCTGAACTTGAATAATTGTAAGACACTGAAGAAAGAAATTAAAGGAGATACAAATAAATTGAATTTATCATGTTCATGGAATGGAAGAATTAACATCATTAATGCCATACTACCTCAAGAAATCTATTGATTCAATGTAACCACTATCAAAATACCAATGACATTTTCTTCAGAACTAGAACTAATAATCCTAAAATTCATAGGGAACCACAAAAGACCCTGAATACCCAAAGTAATCTTGAGAACGAAAAACAAAGTTGGAGATATCAGGCTACCTAATATCAAACTATACTATAAGGCCACAGTAATCAAAACAGTATGGTACTGGCATCAAAATAGACACAGATCAATGAAACAAAATAAACAGTGCAGACATGCGTATATGGTCAACTTATATATGACAAAGGACGCAAGAACATACAGTGGGGTAAGGATAGTCTATTCAATAAATGGTACTGGAAAAACTATACAGATACATGTAATAAAATAAAAGTTTCTTATACCATATACAAGAATAAACTCACAATGAATTAATTTGGACTTAAATAGAAGACCCAAAACCATAAAACTCCTAGAAGAAAACACAGGCAATAAACTGGACATTGGTTTTAGCAATATTTGGGGGGATATCTCTCCTTGGGCAAGGGAAGCAAAAAACAAAACAAAAAAACCAAACGGGACTACATCACATTAAAAAGTTTTTGCACGTGGAAGAAAACCAACAACAAAACAAAAAGATAACCTACTGAGTAGAAGAACATATTCACCAATGATACATCTGATAAGGAGTTAATATCCAAAATATAAAAAGAGCCCTGGCTGGTGTGGCTCAGCTGGTTAGGCATCATCCCGTGCACTGCCTGTTGGATTCCTTGTCAGGGCATATGCCGGGGTTGCAGGCTCGATCCCCACGGGGGTGTGCTGGAGGCAGTCGATTGATGTTTCTCTCTCACACCGATGTTTCTATCTCTCCTTTCCTCTCTCTCTAAAAATTAATAAAATCTTGATATATACATATAAAGAACTCATACAACTTAACACCAAAAAACACACAGTCCAATTTAAAAATGGGCAGAGGACCTGAATAGACACTTTTCCAAAGAGGACATACCTCTGAAAAGATGCTCAATATCACTAATCATCAGAAAGATGCAAATTAAAACCACAATGAGATATCACCTCACACCTGACAGAAAGACTATTATCAATAAATCAACAAACAGCAAGTGTTGGTGAGGATGTGGGATGGTAAATTGGTGCAGTCTATAAATTGGTGCAGTCTCTATGGAAAACAGCATAGAGGTTCCTCCAAAAATCAGTAGAGCTAACATACAACCCAACAATTCCATTTCTGGGTATTTATCCAAAGACATCTAAAACAACAATTTGAAAAGAGATATGCATCCCTGTGTTTACTGTGGTATTACTTACAATAGCCAAGATATGGAAATAACTGAAGTGCCCCTTGACAGAGGACTGAATAAAGAAATAATACATACATGCAATGGGATATTAGGCAGCCATAAAAAATGAAATCTTACCATTTGTGACAACATGGGTGGACCTAGAAGGTATTATGTTAAGTGAAACAAGTCAGACAGAGAAAGACAAAAACCATATGAGTTCACTTATATGTGAAATCTAAAAAAACAAGATAAATGAATAAATAACACAGACTCATAGATACAGAGAACAAAATGATGGTTGCCAGATGGGAGGAGGTTGGAGGGATGAGTGAAAAAGGTGAAGGGATGAAGAAGGAAGAAATACAAATTGTCAGTTATAAAAGTCACAGAGAGGTAAAGTACAGCATAGGGAATTTAATCAATAATATTGTAATAACAACATCATGTTAGACATGCACTAGACTTATCGGGGACATACCTTCATAAATCATATAAATGTCTAATCACTATGCTGTATATCTGAAATAGTATAAGATTAACTTTCAGGGGGAATTAAAAAATAAAACATTTATTAAAAAATAAAAATGTCTAGAATAGTAAATTTTATTACACACACACATATATATGTTTGTTTTGTTAATCCTCACCTGAGGATATTTTTCAATTGATTTTATTTAGATAGAGTGGAAGGGAGGGAGGTGTGGGGGAGAGAGAGAAACATCAATGTGCGAGAGACACATTGATTGGTTGCCTCTGCACAACCCTGATCAGGCCCGGGGATGGAACCTGCAGCCAGGTAGGTGCCCTTGACGGGAAATCAAACCCGAGACCTTTTGGTCCGCAGGCTGATGCCCTGATCACTGAGCCAAACTAGCCAGGGTTGTTATATACATTTTTTTTACTGCAGTAAAATAACTGCCAAACATGAATCTTCCGATCTTCCACGTATAATGATTTCCCACAAATCTTTCAACTATTCCAATAAAAATCTGCCTTCAAAATTTTCTAAAGCAACCAAGTGAATGTAGTGCATGAGTATAAACTAGATCATTTTCATATACAGGATGTGGCAAAGTACATTTATAGATGTTTGTATGGAAAATAATTCAATAATTCAGAAACAAGAATACAACAATAAACTGTGTTTAGCGGACGTACAACTGTAAATCTACTTTTGCCCATCCCTATACAGTATAGCATTCACTCAGCTGGCAAAACTTAAATCGGATCTGACAATTAGACAGCAGCGATTTCTCACAGTGATTGTCCCAATTTTGATGTTTGCACTGCGTTTATATGAGAAAATGTCTTTGTTTATAGGAAATAAACACAAAAGTCCCGGGTGACGGGGCATCAGGCTGGCAACCTATTCTCAGTGGTTCAGAGAAGATTGTTTGTAATGCATTTGAAACTTTTCTGTAAGTTTTTAATGGATTCAAAAATTTAAAATACAAATTGAAAGTATTAAAAAAGATTGTGTAGCTCTGGCCAGTCTGGTTCAGCGGTTAGAGCGTCGGCCTGCGGTCCTGAGAGACCCGGGTTCGGTTCCCGCTAAGGGCACGTACCTCGGTTGCAGTTTGTCCCTGGCCCTGGTTGATTGTGCGGGAGGCAGCCACTCGATGTGTCTGTTTCACGTCGATGTTTCTCTCTTTCTCTCTTCCTCTCTCTCCCTCCCACTCTACCTGAACAAAAAATGGAAAAATGTCCTCAGGTGAGGATTAAAAAAAAAAAAGATTGTGTAATGTTATCATATTGACTAGTAAGAGTACAATTAGTTACAGTAATATCATAGTATACCATATATAAACCATAATTAAAAATTAAAAACCTTTCAAAAAGTGAAAATATTTTAAAAATGAAAAAGGCAAAAGAAATTTTAAAGAGACTGTTTAGATGGTGACAAGCACGTCACATAAAACATAACGATTTGGCTGGTCCACGGGCCAGGGCCAAATATAACGGTTTGCATGTGTGATAACAAAGGCCGGCCCATGCTGAGACTCCCTACATTGCTTTACAAGAGAGGAAAGAGGGAAAAAGACAAAACTGAGGCAGAATAGCAAGTGTATATACAAACCTGCCAACAAATACCTGATGAGTGACCAGACATCAGCTCTCAGTTATACTTACACAATGGTCTTTCCAATGTGCAAAAATGACTTCTCTACGAATTCCCGGACACTGTGGACTTCCCCAGTAGCTATGACGAAGTCCTCCGGCTCATCGTTCTGCAACATCAGCCACATAGCCTGGAAAGAGACAGGCAAATCCAAGTTAAAGCTGCGGCCAGCTGCCACTTGGGAAATATAATGTTATCGAACACACGTAATTGGGTATGGACATTGTCAAAAGGTAAACGGAGGCACATTGCATTTTTTTTTTTTAAAGAATGTACAGTGATACCTCGGTTCTCGAACGCCTCGGTTTTCGACCAAATCGGTATTCGACCAGGAGATTCGAGAAACTTGTCTCGGAATCCGAACAAATATTTGGAACTCGAACTTCCGAGATGAGCCGAGTTGAGCCAAATGGCGTTCATTCGGCCCAGCGCGCCTTGCTTGCGTCATCAGTGTGAGTGCAGAGAGAGAGTCACGCTTTGTGGAGTCACGCTTTCCTATTGGTTTCATTGCTTCGGTTCTCGAACAATTCGGTTCTCGACCGTCCTCCTGGAACGAATTATGTTCGAGAACCGAGGTATCACTGTATTTGATCATACCTCTGAATAGAGCAGTGCTAAACCCAATATGATTAGGAGCAATCCACCCAGAGCCAGGGGCAAGGTTTTTATAGAGCAGAACCGAAGTGAAGCAACGAATTCTTTGATTTGCTGTAGCTTATGCAGTGGCCTTATTTAGGAAAGCCAAGTTAGCTGTTTGTGATTGGTTCTTCTTCAGTTTCATGTCCTTGGATTCGAGTGAAGTGACTCTGGCTTAGGCTCTGGTTTGCGCCTGCGGGCTGCCAAGGCATCAGAGACAGCCGGTCTAGAAGTCTCCATGCTGAAATACTTTCACACGTACAGCCAGAAGTAGCCAGGGGTTTAGTACAGTACTCTCGGCCTAGAGTAGTGCTTCTCAAACTTCACTGTGCGTCAGTCATGCCGGAAGCATCTCAGTCTAGACCCTGGGCCACAGCTACAGAATGGGCTTCGCACATGCTTTAGGCAGCTTTATCTTGAACACCCAAGGTGATTCTCATGCAGCAGGTCCGTGGATGGCAACTTTTAGAGGAACAAGATATTGAAGCATACCCGTGGCAAATAACCTATCTATAGTATACTTAAGGAGAGTTTTAAAAGCATTGTCTAATTTATATCTTCATATCATGGATGGACGGGAAATAAAAGTCTTCTAGAGACTAATGTTTACTCTCAAAATAGAACATTTCTTAACAACAAAGTAAAACATTTACCAATGTGTTGACATCAAAAAGCAAAATAACCAAGATTCATTCATGGGATTCTGGTCAAGATGAGGCGTAGGTAAACGCGGTACTCACATTCCCCCACAATCATCACCACTAAACCACAGAGCAACCATCAGTCAGAACTGCCTAAAATCTGGCTGAATGGAAGTCCTACAACCACACAATTAAAGAAGCCACATCAAGACTGGCAGGAGGGGCAGAGACTCAGAATGGTCTGGTCCCACAGCCATGTTGGTGGATAAAAATCGAGGGATAACTTCATGCAGAGGTCCCCCTGAGGTGTGAAGGGCATCAGCTGCACACCAGGCCCTGAGCACAGGGCTGGGAGGAGAAGTCCCCACAACTTCCGGCTGTGAAAACCACGGGGTTGTGGCGGAGTGAGATGGAGGGCTGCTGGAGTTCCAGGGTTCCTCGCGAAGCGCCCGCACACGGACGGACGCTGACTCGCTTCCTCTGAGCTCTAGCACTGGGGTAGCAGCTCAGAAAGCACCAGGGACATATGGGGAGGAAGTGGACTGTTTGGCATCAGAGTGAGAGCTAGGGGACAGCTTTCTCCCAGAACAAAAGTGCTGGCAAAGGCCGCTGTTCCTTTGATGAGTCCTCCCCTCACAGAGCGGGCGGACAGGCACCATGTCTGAGACCCCATCAACCTGGCTATCACAGTTCACCCTGCCCTGGTGATTTCCTGAGATCCAACCCCACCCAACTTCCAAGTCCTCCCAAGATGTTTCCAGTAGCTTTTCCACACAAATGACCTGTCTTGATCATGCTTCAGATTTTCCTAAAATCTCTCAAACAAACAGCATCTAGCGTCAGTGAGCCCTGTACCTCTCGGTAAGTGGCCACAGGCCTGGCACTAGCAGCAGCCAGCCTTGGTTTGCAGCTTGGCCTCTCCTGGGCACTCCAAGCCCAGCACAAGTAGCAGCCATCTGCAGATCCCTTTGTAGCTCAGGTGGGTGGTCCTGGGCAGAACAAAGGTGGGGGCTGACCTTGGCCTACACCTCCCAGGAATCCCCAGAGCTAGCACACCTGGTGGGCAGCTTCAGACCATGTCAGAACAACATCCAACCACTTCCACAGCAATACACTCAAGGGGTGGACTCAGTGGGCACCACAGCCCCGCTGAAGTAAGTCCTGCTCTGTGGGGTGGGTCCCTGCACAGCTGATCCTCCACCATGGTGGGTGGTCACAGCCAGTTTTTGCGGCCAATCAATCTGGGGGTAAATCCTTCTCATTGATGTGCCAACAGCAACCAAGGCTCACCTACAACAGGAGGTTTTACACAGTCCACACAGTGTGGGGCAGGGACCCTGGAGTGCTCAGCTTGGGTGACTGGGGAGACTGTGCCACTGGACCCTACAGGACACCTACTCTGTTAGGCCACTCTACCAAGCCCGGGAGACATAGCAGCTCTACCTAATACGTAGAAACAAACACAGGGAGGCAGCTGAAATGGGGAGACAAAGAAACATGTCCCAAATAAAAGAACAGAACAAAACTCCAGAAAAAGAACAAAACAAAATGGAGACAAGTAATCTACTAAATGCAGAGTTCAAAACACTGGTTATAACTTTGGTGAAGAGTAGTTGAACTCAGAGAGAACTTTAACAACATAAATAAGGACATGGAACCTCCTCCGCCCCCCCCCAAAAAAGCCAGTCAGAAATGAAGGACACACTAACTAAAATGAAAAATAATTTATAGGGAATCAACAGTAGAGTAGATGAAGCCAAAAGGAGAAGAGGGAGAGCAAGAAATTGAAAATGTATTTGAAAAAATTATGACAAAAACTTCCCTAACCTAGTGAAGGAAATAGACACACAAGTCCAGAAGTGCAGAAAGCCCCCCAAAAAGATGAACCTAAAGAGGCCCACACCAAGATACATCAGAAATAAAATGCAAAAGGTTAAAAGACAAAGAGATAATCTTAAAAGCAATAAGAGAAAAAAAGCAGTTAGTTACTTATAAAGGAACTTCTATAAGACTGTCAGCTGATTTCTTAACAGAAAGTTTGCAGGCCAGAAGGAATTGGCAAGTAATGTTCAAAGTGATGGAAAGCAATGACCTACACCCAAGATTACCTTACCCAAAGAAGCTGTCATTTAGAACTGAAGGACAAATAAAGAGCTTCCCAGACAAAGAAAAGCTAAAGGAGTTCGTCACCACCAAACCAGTAATACATGAAATGTTAAAGGGTCTTCTTGAAGAAGAAGGAGAAGAAGAAAAGATAAAAAATATGAACAATAAAATGGCAATAAATACATATCTATCAACGAATCTAAAAAACAAAATAAGTAAGAAGAACAGAAAGAGACTCACAGACACAGAGAATATTTTGACGGCTGCCAGATGGGAGGGGGAGGGGGCTAGGTGGGAAAGGTGAAGGGGATTAAGAAGCACAGATTGGTTGTTACAGAATATTCATGGGGATGTAAAGTACAACATAGGGAATATAGTCAATAATATTCTAATAACTACATAAGGTGTCGGATGGGTATTTGATTTATCAGGATGATCACTTAGTAAGTTATATAATGTCTAATCACTAGGGTATACACCTGAAACTAACATAATATTGTATGTCAACTATAATTGAAAAAAATGATTAAAAAAATTTAAAAATAAAGCCCCAAGGGATTTAAAAAAAAAAAAATCCACTACCACTTATTTACTGATACTGTTAAAATTGGATTGCAAAACCTGGGATTCAACAATTGATCTAAAATCAATTTCTTTATCTGTAAAAGTGAAAGAATGCCACTTACTCACAGATTATTATAAATTGTCAATAAGATGATTTGTGATTTAGCTCAAAGGAAATGATCTCAAGAAGGAAATACTGAAACCTACACAGAAGGCTGGACTTCACAAGTGTTCTGAGACCTCACGAACGCCACCACCGCCCACAAACATCACTAAGTCTGCACGTTAAACCACGGATCTGCTTTCCAGCTGCTCGAACTTTTTTTTAAATTCTCACCTGAGGATATTTTTCAATGATTTTTTTGATAGAGTGGAAGGGAGGGAGGGAGGGAGGGAAACATCCGTGTGAGAGAAACACATTGATTGGTTGCTTGCTTCCAGCATGGCCCTGACTAGGGCCGGGGACAGAACCACGACTGAGGTACGTGCCCTTGACCGGAATCTAACCTGCGTCTCTATGGTCAGGGGTCGACGCTCAACCGCTGAGTCAAACCAGCCAGGGCTCAAACTTTTTAAAGATCCCCCAACTTCTATGAGTAGTACAACTAAGTATGGCACTTAAAGAAATCAACCTAACTTAGGTTTTACTCTTCCAAGAGCAACCACTCAAAACTTATAGTGCTTCTCTGTATCTTATATGCAAACGCTTTTTCTAGAGGCTTCACTGGTTACCAATCCCACATTCCAACGAAAAGAAGTACAGTCAAAGCCTGTAAAAGAAATCTCTCCTAAACTGCAAAAAAATCATTAATGGAAAAACAATCACATAATGAATATTACTACCACTTTTGAAAAGTTCTCTGAGAGGCAATGAAAAGTGTGAACCAGCTCAGGGTTTCATCGGGCAGCATTGCAAGGTCAGCTGCTCAGTGGGACTGTCCTGCAGGGACACTTTTTTTTTTTATCCTCACTCGAGGATATTTTTCCATTTTTTGTACAGATAGAGTGGGAGGGAGAGAGAGGAAGGGAGAGAGAGACAGAAACATCGACGTGAAGGGAGAGAGACAGAAACATCGATGTGAAGGGACACATCGAGTGGCTGCCACCCGCACGACCAACCAGGGCCGGGGACAAACTGCAACCGAAGTACATGCCCTTAGCGGGAACCGAACCCGGGTCTCTC